GCATTGATTGGATATTCAACTTGAATTGACCCGCACAAAGTAAATGATAAAAGTGTTCTGCTCCAATTAAAATATCTACACGAGATGGATTGTGGAACTCAGGATCAGCGAGTTTAATGTTTTCTGGTATTTCCAGTTTTGAACATTGGTTGTGAAGGCAATAACGTGGTTATGTTTGGAATTACTAATAGCTGCAGATCAAGAGAGAATGCATTGTTCCTTGCTTTAATGATTGTACTAGTTATCTATTTAATGTGAGAAAGTGAATTTCCTATGCCTTGAATGGGGACATTAATTGCTCGCTTTGATAACTCCAATTTGTTACAAAGTTGCTCTGATATAAAATTCGATTGCGATCCCGCATCCAATACTACTCTGCAAGTGTGAAGCTGCCCTGCTGAATCAACTATGTCAACTACTGCCGTCGATAAGATTACCTGAGAAAAATTGTTAAGTCTAGAACTTAAAACTTGTTTAACAGTTGCTGAATTAGATTGCTGTGTTGTTTGACCCTGTGACTCAGAACTTGCGTTCCCTTGTGTACTTGTATCAGTAGCCTGTGGTTTTGAAATATGCAGCAAAGTGTTGTGTTTTTTGTTACATTTCTTACAATTGCCAGCCCTGCAGGCACTGACTTGATGATTGGACCTAAGACAATTAAAGCAAAGGCCCGCTTTCTTAATTGCTTCAACTTTCTTACTGTGTTCTAGTTGTTTGAACTCTTCGCAATTTATGATGCTGTGATTTTTACTACAAACATGACAATTTGTTTTTGACTGAGCTTCAAATAAAACTTGGCGTGTCTTACTTGGTCCCTTGTTAGTATCAGATGTTTCAGCTGCCACTGCCTGCAAGACATGGCATTTGTTACGCAAGAATTTCCATAAACTATCAATGTTCGGCAACTCAGTCCCATCCACCGATTCCTCCCAATCACGTAATGTAACCTTATCAAGCTTAGATGTAATTAATTGTAGAAGTAATGCATCCCATTGATCTGTTGGTTGTCCTAACGCGGTTAATGATTGAATGTGTTTTTGAGCAGTGTCTATCAACGTATTTAAATTTGACACGGATTCCTTTGACATTGCTGACAAATCAAACAATGCTCTTACATGGTTTTGTATAATAATTCTCTTATTGCTAAATCGTTCTGTTAATAAATTCCATGCTATTTCATAATTCTCGTCCGTCGAACTGAGAGAATGTATTACTTGGGCTGCACTACCTGATAAGCAAGACTTTAAATAATTGAATTTCTGTACGGGCTGAACTCTTAAATTATTGTGCACAAGTGCCTTAAAGGTGTCTTCAAAACTAATCCATTCGTCAAATTTTCCATCAAATTTTGGTAATGTAATTACTGGTAACTTTATGTTTGATTCGAACCGTGCAGGAATTGAGACTATATCTGTACCCTGAGAAATTGAATTATTTATGTCGCTCGTCGATGCCTGATTTCTACAATGTTGATTCAGTAAAGATTGCGCCTTTGCAACATATTCAAAATAACTTTCTTCAAATAATTGTCTCGATGCTTCGTCGTCTACGTTTTCTGTTACTTCAATTTCTTCATGAACCTTTTCAAACTCATCCAATAACGTTTTTGCTTTCTCTAAGCGAATTTTAAGTATTTTAATATCTCCATCTGCAGGGTTATAATTCTCTAAAAAATTTTTAAATTTTGTTAGTGACGATTTGATCGAACCACGACGTTTTTTCAGAATAGTTACCTTTTCTGCCATTGTGCTTTAGATTATGTGATTTCTGGAATGTTGTAAATTGTTCCAAACTTACCGATTGCACTTCGCTTTCTGTTCTACTGATACTCACTATATGATATGCTATGCCTAAATTTTTCTCGAGCGCTTGTTACCTTGCTATCCGCTACTTACTATAAATTGAGTTGCTCTCCTTTGTACATACAAGGGCAGATTATCTGCCTTGACAAGACTATCACACACCTCGAGCACTATTCTTTATCTGACCACGCTCAACGACAACGAACTCTAACCTTACAAATGATAATCGCTTACAATCGGGCTCGATGGACCAAATGTTGGGAACGAGTGGACTGTATTTGGGAAATTGATGAGCGCCGAATGTTTTTAAACGCAAAATAACTTATTTATTAAGGATTAATATAATGAATTGAATATAATATAAGGCGTCAGATCGGAAGAGCACACGTCT